CTGAGTTCTGGGTTAATACTGGTTTAGTCCTTTTATTTTCCCTAGATCCAAATCAGTTATGAGGTTCTTGATTACTGCATGTGGAAACCTAAAGACTGATTATATTAATATATTACTGTTAAAAAGAACCTTTCTTAACATTTTATTTCCCCTCATAATGTAAACCACCTTTTTAAAATGCCTTTTCTCCCTTTGAGTTGTTTACAGATTAATGAATAGTGTAGTTTAGAGAGTCAGGTCTGAACAGAACTCTAAATAAAGACATTATTGGACATTGCTACTCCAGGATACTCTTCAAGGATGAGGGAGACACTTGTCAGCTCAAGCCTTCATGTGCACAGTCCCAATGAAAAATAATATTATTTTCCAATCAGTACAACTGGGCAGACTCATTTTGAAACTATAGAACACAGAAATTACTTATACTGGCTTCTCTGAGCAGAACCCACACAACCATCCTCACAGTGATTTCCCAACATAACTGCAAGGTAGGAAAAGAAGGTTTTCCCACATTACAGATACTTAAATAAAAAGCAAAGATAGAATTTATTCAGCAATTCGGGAAAGGAAATAAAACTCTGAAGAAAGTAATGCTCAGTTTTGTTTCTTTCTGCAAGAGCAGGAAGGAATAAATAAAACATGAGCACATTTCCTGCAAAATTGGCAATAAAAGGCTCCTCCCTCAGTCACTGGAGCTGAATATGTGTGATTCTCCCAGACTATCTTAATTATTCCACTTATCAGAGCAGCCCTCAGACTGCCTGTCAGCCCAAAAAAGCATCTGGAACATCTGGCACATCCCAGCGTGCACCCATTACACAACACCCAGCTCTACATTGCTTTTGCCCAGGTTTTAATTCCCAGCATGTACCACTAAACTTCACATCGTTTGTCAAGCTGCCTGTGCAGCCCCAGGAACACTGAAAGAGCATTTCCATCACCCTGTGCCACAGGGATGAGTTACCAACGTCCTGGCATCAGCAAGAAGGGAACAAAAAGCGAGTTAAGCAAGTGCTGGGTGACAATGACCAACCCTAAAACACCATCATGTTTCAAATGGTCTTTCAAACAAAAGGTGACTCCTGGTCTGGCACTCTCAGTGAATTCCATTATTTCTGTTTGACTGTGAAGGGAACATTGAAATGAAAGAATTGATCTTAAAACTCATTAAAAATTAAGTCTTTTCAACACACTGAATTCTAATTCACGCACGCAAAAAAATTAGAAATTCCTATCTATTCTCCAGTTCTTTAATATATGATACTACAAAGGAAAATATCCAATTACTCTGTAGATAATAGGCCCAGAACATTTATCACCAAGTAAAACCAGATGAGAGATCATTATCCAATTGGAGAATTTAATGTGGTAACCAGCAAATTGAATTTCAGAGCTTCAGAAAGTTCTGCAATAAAACCACAGAGTTGAACACTGTGTGGATTTCCAGACTGGATCTGGAAGGAGAACTTCAATATTCTGCCTTTAGATGGAAGCTGGTTGCCACAGAGCAAAATGGAACTGGGCAGCAGCATAGGCACAGTTTTCTATAACTCTTTGTGAAATCCTGAAGATTTTCCAAGATTTTTTGTGGTTTGTTTTATGGTCAGAAACGCAAAATGAAAATTTCCCAGGTATATCTGGTCAACTGAGCTGGAGTCCTGTGTGATAAGTTAATTTTCTGCAGAATGAGCTCTGGTAAAATAAAATAAAAGCATATTCAGATTTTAACTCTATCCTTGTAAGCCATATTTAGGTTCAACCTGGTAAATGATGTCACTTCAGAAGTGAAGTATTAGTAAACATAGAAAGTCATGTTCCAAGAGATACTCTATTAATTAATAATTATTTATAACAGCCTTGCTAATTGTAATTGACTCTTGCTTAGGTTCTGTGACATTGCATATCAATTAAATTAGAGTTATAAATATATCCTGGAAGGGGGCAGTGTTTCTTGACAGGAATATTTTGCTGCAACATGGCTTCATGCATCATTTTATATCCTGGGCACGCTGCCAATATTGCATTACCTAAATATCCATTTTATATAGGAACTCTGCATCCTCCCAGCAACTTATGAAATCAGGCTAATTGTTTAATTTTAGGTTCCAAATCAACATTCCTTCCAAAGCATTAATCTAGTGGTGAATCTCTGCAATTACCAATTTTGCACAACTTCTTACGTCTGGTAATTTAAACTACTGTTAAGTAAGTGCCTTTTTGGGTTTTTTTTTTTTGTTACATATTTGGGTTTTTTTTTTTTTGTTACATATTTATGTAAGCGCTCAGAAAATGAAGCAATGGCTAAGTGATGCTCAATTCCTCCTTCCATCAAGCCATCTTTGTTTGATTACAAAACATTATCACCTTCCCTTCACTAAAGATGATGAAAATCCTATTTATGCTCTCCATTTCCCAAAGCATTTATCTGGCGTGGAATTTTGATCTATATCCAGAAGTTGTACTGGGCATGTGTTAAGAGGAGAGGATTTCATGGAAATGGGATTCCACCAGTTCTGCACTTCTGCCTTCCATTGAAAAACACAGAGCAAAAGTAAGAAGAAAAGCTAAACCAGCTTTGTCAACTTTTTAAATAAAAATGTGGCAAAAGCTGTTTTAAGGTGATTTGGTGTCATTATCCAAAAAAGTTTGTATATCAAAATGCTTATGGAAATCCTGGTAACACCTTTAGATATTAAGGAAATGAGCTGACCTACTTAAAACTTATAAATTTATATCTAAGAACACAACAACTCTGTTACTTTTCCTTTTTGCTATCAAGCTGCCATGGAATGTTCTTTGATATTTCACATTTTTGCTCTGGGTAGCTCTCTTTCAAGATAAATATGCCCCTTTTTTTTTTGCTTGGCTTTTCAGAATTCTTTCAGTATTCGAAGTGGAAAGACATTAATGTGAATGATTCTGTGCTGGCAAGAACCCACAAAATCTGTGTCAGCAGCTCTGTGTGTTTGTCGACTCAGTTCCTCTTGTATATTTATAAGGCAGTTGACAAAGTGCCTCAGATATTCTGATTCCTGTGATTATCTCCTGAAGGACTGCAAAGGTCTCTTTTAATGCTGCTCCAGAAATTTATGGTGATAAAAGAATTAATCCTGCTCTGTCAGTGCATGAAGAATCATTTTACCTGTGCCCTCCCCTGTAATCGCTGCACATTTAACTGAGTTTGAGAACACTCACTCACTTCTAGGGTGGAACAACCACTCCTCGTTGGCTCTTCCTGTTTTCCAGTTTCCTGATTTTCCTTCAGACCCTTTAGAGTTGACATTTTATGTCATTCAGGTATTTTTCAATATTTACTTTATTATTATCCAATATCACGCTGCTAATCTGTCACATCAATTAATTGCATTATAGGGTGTAAATCATGCAAGAAAATAGAACTTCAGTCCTGAAATCAAGTGTGGAATTTGCATCTTAGCACAAACAGTTCTTCAGAACTCAGGTGAGCCAACAGATCATCTACAGAATTCCAAAAACTGACTGAAACCAGCTGATTCATCTACCAAGTTATGAAATATTGCTGGGGTTTGTTGCAGGGCTGTATAATAATTTTCTCATTCATCCTGATAAATTGCTTGCTGATTTTCTCTCCAGGTTTGAAATCCTTTGCTTTGACTTTATGATGCTGATAATCTCTGTCAGAGAGATTGAAATCCACAATTTAAGTAAATAAATTTAAATAAACAGTAACTCCATTAAACTCATCTGTTTTTACAAGACACAGTAATCAAAGTGAAAATACAAAAGCTTATAAATTAATGTATAATAAATCATTATCAGAGGCTGAGTGCAGGATCCTTATGAACCTTCAGAGATAATGCAGTCTAATTAAACTAAACTCAGTGAGATGAGTAATTAAGAGCACGATTTTATTAAAGCATCTGACAGCAAATGATTCTTGCCTTGTGTTTTGCTGTTCTGTCCTGACTTTGATGAGAAAGCTGTCGTGACACTGACATTGAAAAAGTGACTCTTAGGAGAAATTCATCATGACACCAACACTGAGCAGCCTTTCTCAGACTGAAATCCAGCTTGAAAACATGGAGAAGAGGACTGAGCCTTTATGCCTGGATCAGTCCTACAGGAGAACACCTGAATGCCTGCAACAGTCCTAAAGGAGAGCATTGGAATACCTGGGTCACTTCTAAGGGGAGAACATCTGAATGTCGGGTTCTATCCTACAGGAGATCCTGTGAATTTCTGCATCCATCCTACAGGAGAACCTGTGAATTCCTGGATCAATTCCACAGGAGAACACTTGAGTACCTGGATCAATCCTACAGGAGAACATTTGAATGCCTGGTTCAATCCTAACAGGACATTTGAATGCCTGGATCAGTCCTACCAGGGAACGCTTGGATGCCTGGTTCAATCCTACAGGAGAACACCTGAATTTCTGGACCCATCCTAAGAGGAGAACACCTGAATTTCTGGATCCATCCTACAGGAGAA